TTTGGGGGCGCGCCTGGTCCCTTTAAGAGATTCGCTCCAGGAGTCAGTCCTGGTCCCTGGTGGCCAACATGGCGGCAGTGGCGGGGGGGAGCCCCATGAACCAAAGCAGAGAAAAGGGTCTGCTTTCAGGGCCATGGAAGAGTTTCTGGGTTGACCTTCGATGCCCTCAATTTCCCTGGGCAGCTTTCTTTCACCGGGCCAGAGCTTTACTCATGCTGGCAGCTTAGAAGGAGCCGGTTCTTCCCTTCAAAAAAAGGTGCCGGAACGCCGTTCCATGCATTCTATGACAAAAAAAGCACTGACGGTTGCAATGTCCCAGAATCATGTGATCACCTTTTGCATCCATTTGACATGCAAAGTCAATGGGGAGATCAGATTCACTTAACAACCATATTACTAACTTAACTGCAGTGATTCACTAAACAACTATGGCAAGAAAGGTCATAAAATGGGGCAAAACTCACTTAACAACTTTCTTGCTTAACAATGGAAATGTTGGGGTCAATTGCGGTCTAGACTACCTCTAAAAGGCCTGGTTCTTGGAAAAATGAATAACTTGGGAATAGACACCATATCTCTATCTAGCTTTGTCTTCAGATTGTTTATATATAATTGGATTTAATACTTAGGTAAAGAGATAATATTGGTTCTTGGGATGTGAAGAGGACAATAACACATATAAAGCCTCCAATAAAAAATAAAATAGGACAAATGGTCTCAGATGGTAGCCAAGGCTAAAATCGTCATAATCTGGCAGAACAAAATCATTTAAATTCATATAAAACTGATCCAAAAGGGAGCCAATCCAGTTCTACAATCAGGATAGAAAAATCTAAGTGGCCTTTGTGAAGGAATTGAGCTTTCTGACAAAAAGTGTATCACAGATTAATAATATTCTGTTCACCGCAGTGATAACTGATAGGAATGTGAATTTTATTACATTAACATGTAAATATGTGCATTCTGGAATTTGCACGACATGTCTCTGAATGTTTATTTTAAGTTGATTCTTTTTTTAACAAAATAAAGTGAGGAAAAAATAAACAAGCAGATAGAAAAGGTCTATCAAAATGTTCAAAATGTATCAATAATTTTTACTGTTAATCTTGAAGTATTTCTCAGAAAGATCTTTTTTAAAATAAATCTTCCAAATACCATAACAATCATATGAATGAAAAAATATACTTCAGCTGTTTTATAGTGAATTGTATATTAGGATGCACTGAACTATTCCATTATAAGTATATTACAAGTAGAAATAATAAAAGCAAAAAAAGAACAATCACTGGGAATTTCCTATATATTTTAATTAATAATTTTATTTTGAAAACGATAAATACACAGCTATTTCAGGAATGTTAATGGAACAATACTGGCACTGGGTTTGATTATGATCAATTTTAAATTAACTAAAAAGAAGTTAAATTACTACAGGGCAGTCTCATGAATATTTACAGTGTTTGTAATTGTTAGAGAGATTATCCACTAACTCAATTGATGAAATTTGATAGTTTATTCTAAGGATATACAAAAGATCAAATTTATAGCTGTTTTCTCTAACATTTATTGAGGATAACCTCAGACTGAATGGCTCTTACAGATCTCGGTAACAAAGTACAAAGTAAAGTAAAACAGTTGTAGGCATTAAATAAAACATGAAAAATATCACTGTGGTTTTTTCTTCTTTAAATGCACACATTTTCAAACAAATTCATTTTTTTATTTTTTATTTTAAAAATCAGTAGCTGAAAACTTCTAAGATAAGACAGGGATAACTGTAAACATTTAACTACCGTATGTTCTGCCATCAATTTCAGCCATGCAGCCTTATGAACAAATACCTCATGTAGAAAGAAAGAAGAGAGATAGCAAGGCATTTTATAATTCTAATTCATTTCCCCATTTACAAACTGTCAAGGATATTACACAGAAGGCAGAAATGCAGCTCAGTCTGACTTCACGCAGTGAGGAATAAACTGTACCAGAGGAGTGAAGACCTGGCAGTGTAGAGGAACAATCGTTTTTCCTAATCCTACTGAATTTCTCATGAATTTAATTTTTTTTTAAAAAATGTCTTTGATCCATTACATTCAAAGGGTTGAAGTCCTATGGCTCATTCTTATACTTTCATCTGCACTTTTAAATTAATTCCTTTCCTTGTAAACTGCTTTTATTTTTGTCTTTCTAGTTTACCTTTTTCTTACTGAGCCTCAAATCTAGCTGGATGTCCAGGAAACACCAAAGGCCTACCAAGCAGCATTAGCAATCAGATTGAGATACTCCACTTTCATTTTCTTCAGCAAACTTGCTAACTTTCACAAGATACAAGCAACTGCAGAAACCGATGAAAGTTTTACATTGACTTTAATGGAGGATCAGCTTTAGAGGAAAATAATGCCACTATGCTTTTAAAACTAAGTATTTCCTCTGTGAACTATACTTCTGTATTACATTTCCTTAAAATGTTGTTAAAAGTGATTTCATATAATAGCAGTGGTTATACGTGTACTGTATGTACATATGTGTAAATATATATTATATTGTTCCCAGGAATTTTAGAATAACAACACTTTAAATAACATACGCTTCTTCAGATATTTTCATAAAAAAAATAGTCTGTTTCTCATACCTTCATGCTCAGCAACACATTCTCATACCCAGAGTTTAGTCTGTTCCATCAATAATGGCTGGGTTTTTATTTTAATCTGCATAGATAACTAACAGCTGGAAAGTACTCAGCACAGCCACTTTAAATCTTTTCATTAGAACAGAGTTAAAATGTGAATATAGCAGTGAAATAGCGCCCTCTACAGGACACAAGGCTGAAGAGTACTTGCTGAAATCAAAGTCACACTAAAATGAAGCTACAAAATCAAGGACATTATGAGTAGATTTCATCAATTTACATAGGCAATTGTTTCTGAGTATTATTTAGCCATAAAGATATTCAGTTTTGCATTCATATGCATATACGTTTGTTTTGTTACTTTAAAATAGGGACTGCTTTGGTCAGTTTAAAGAGTACAGCAGCCATTTTTGTTAGATGCAGAGAAAAGTTACTTTTACCTTTATAGAAGCTTAAAATGTTGATTCCTACAAAATATAAAGGAAAAAAAACTATGCGTCCTTTAGCAGAACTTGAGGTGGGTAAGACAGGTTAATATGCTTGCCTTGAAGTGAATACACCCAGAGGTGTCTCATATGGGTCAGAAAAATAGGGGGTTCCAGACTATGAGTGAATGGTGTCCATCTGCTGCTGGATTAACATTTGTCATGAGAACAGATAATGGTGGCTGTGGTGATGAAGATGATTTATCCTGCATCATACTCACAAACATCCCCAACTGGCTTCAGAAAGTCGCCTCATGCGGGTAGGAGTAGCAGATGTCTATTAAAAGAGAATATAGGAAGCTCAGGGTTGAACTGTTAAACTGTCATGATGTTACCTAGTCAGGCAATGAAACTAAGAGAGCACCAAGTACTCCAGAGGTCTATTAGTATAATGTTGGATGTAACTCATCCTCTTCTTGTTTTCAAACAGCACTAGCAGCATTGCTCTATTACAGGGGTCTTCAAACTTGGCCCTTTTATGACTTGTGGACTTCAACTCCCAGAATTCCTCAGCCAGCGTGCCTGGCTGAGGAATTCTGGGAGTTGAAGTCCACAAGTCATAAAAGGGCCAAGTTTGAAGACCCCTGCTCTATTACCATAGCAGCAGCTGTGAATTAAGAAACATTTTCTCATATTAAAAAAGGTTAGCAACATCACATTCTTCCTTAGGGGGAAAAAGTGCGATTAAACAAAAAATACAATTCAAAACTGAAGGGATTTTGCAGAATAAAATCCCTTCAAAACCAGCTGGACAAAATAAAACAACAACAACAACAACAATCCCATTTGCAGTTTAATTCTGTGCAAAACTAGCACTGGCTGGTTTAAGCATGCATCTCAGCTAATTTTGCCCAAAATTAGTTTGTCAATTTTAGCATGAAGCTTCATCAGTTAGAGAGGCAACATGTTTTGAAATCAGTGAAAGCCCAGATTAGTCCATAGCAATTTTTCCCCCCGGTATTAGCATCCCCAATAGATTGTGTTGTTAGTTTCATTTAACAAACTTGCTGTTTGCCTGTACGGTGTTCGGTTGAAGTACTTTTAAAACAAAGAATATGTTTTCTGAGTGATCCCATATGTGCATATGGAGCTTTGTTCAGCTTGACACTTTGTTCCTCCCACATCCAATACTGTCTGTGGACCCTTTTTAAGCCTCATGATCCTAGGGCTCATAAAAAGAGCCTGCAATAAAATAGTGCCTATAAAAATATTCGTTCAAAACGGAAAAGCCTGGTTCTGCTCATAGGCCTCTTTGTGTGTAAAACCAATTTATGATTAACAGCTCTTGAGGTCTTTTTTTAACTTGGAATTGACAGAACTCTGATAACCATCTCCTTCAAAATGTTTAACTGTTGGCTTGCCGCACTCAACGGAACTGTCCAAGTAGTTTAAAGAGCAGGAAGATACACACAGTCACTTTGAAATTATGTAATTATGGTACAGTTGTTTCCAGCGATCTGGATTAGATCAAAGCCCATTCATATTTGGTTTTGCACAGAATGGGCTGGAAGAAAGAAGCTTCCCCCAGAAGGCAGAGGAAAGGAGACAAGAATTGAAAAAGAACTCAAACTTACTGCTCATAGAGCTGGGCGCTGATTAACGCTGACGTGGAATAGCCAGATTCCCTGGAATATTGGTGCCGAAATGACATTCTTGCCAATTTGCATCAGTGATAATGCATTTCATTAACTAAAAAGGAAAAGTTGTGATGCGATGTGACTTTTACACATGAAGCCAACTTATCTTGTTTTCTCAGTTATCCATTCTTTTGTACCTTGCACTTCTGGAATTCCCTCCCATAATAATGATGAGAGACTTGTGCTCCTGGAAGCCCGGCTGAGAACATTTTTTTTTAAAGCTTTTGTGACTTTCAAAGAACCCTTCTGTTTTATTTGCTCTATGCTTCTCTGCTATATCGTCAGAATTGTTTTGTCAGTAGATGATGTAACTCTACAGTTACTTCATACTTTGGAAAGCAGTTTACACTATCTACCCTGCCATGAATAACATTAGCTTGTGCAAAACGTAAATGAATTTCTGTCCATTTGATAAAATCACCTCAGGTTTAACGGTGCTTGCATTTGGACTTTTTTTATAAACAGGGTATTCTGGCAGCTGTAATTCAGGCCGTCAAAGGCATTTTGCAATGCAAACATGGTAACAGTCAGATTCTATCTGAACTGCATGGGGTTTTCCCCAGCCAATGTCTGAATATCAACAAATAAGTACTTTTTAAAAGAGTAATAGAAGTAAAGACTGTTGTTTAATCTAATTTTTCTTGGTCAAGTTTTGTAGACCACAGAACAAGACCTTCGACTTCGTCCTCCCATTGTTCTTCATTTTTGCTTTTGTCCATCTTCTTAGATCCCACGGAAGACGTTTTTGAAGATCTAGATGCTCCTAGATAGTAGAAGTAATACAAAATGAAAAACGTGACTACATGAACTATAGTAATTGCACAATCATAGGGAAACACACAACACATTAAATTGTGTTTCTGTGAATGCAGGTGTGAGTGTGAGAGAGGCCATTTTGTAGTGCATGCAAGATTTGTCCTGTAGAGAAGTAAGTTTGTATGTTAGCATTTATTGCCAAATGATATAGCTAACTATTAGAAAACTAATATGTGTTCCCCCACCCTACTTCTAAAAATTTCCAAGACCCCATGATCACACTGAAATCTGATTATGAAATGGTAAATTTTGATGACATAATACATGGCTTTTTAAATAAAATATCTCACCAAATAAGTACATTGGTAGACAGAATACTGCTATTTGGAATAAATAAAATAAAGCAAAACTATACCCAAATCCCAACATTCTCTCCAAAGAGGGATTAAAACTGTGGCCGCATTTTCTGCTCTGGTGATCAGTCCTACATGTTCTGCAGCCTTCAGTGCCATGATTAAATAAATAAAAAAACAGATTCCCACAGACTGACAAATTACTGTATTTTTGATACATGATTTTATATTCTTAGGGCAGTAATAAAAATCATCAGGGAGAGTTCTAATGACTTCACAAAGGTTAATTATTACTGCTTATTAATTATTACTGCATATTTAGTTTCAGCCATAAAAATCATCAGTAAAAGAAATTACTAATTTATGATTTACATTGATATTCAGTTGCACACATGGCTAAGATAACCTATAACATCTGTATTTCTGCAATATGTCCTACCCTGGTTTAGTACCCAGAAACCACCAGTAACATTTGTGGGTGTGGGAGGCTCAAAAAATTCAGAATGGTAATTATGTCATTTGATTGCTGCTCTCATGTTGACATGTTGACCCATCCCACCACACCCACAGAAGTTCCTGGAAATGACATTTGGCCTAACAAATTGCAAATGGCTATTAAACCCTCACTCCTATTCTTCCGGAAGAGCCTTGGTTGACCTCAGGTCCAAATGGGGGAGTTCCACACTGGAGGTGCTGCTAGATTGCTGGCAGACTTCCCCTCCCCTCTCTTGTTCTCTGCTCTCCACCCATTCGTCTTTTTGGTTACCATATTGATGTATCTAATCTCATTGTGTTCCTTTATCATTGTTTATTTTATTGTTCTATTATTTTACTTCTGTTTACATGCCTATAATTTTTTTTCCTTCTTATAATTATAAACCATCTAGAGTAGCACTACAGTTAGATAGGCGGCAAATAAATTTAACAAATAAATAAATAAACTAAGTAAACATGGACCAAAGGGCTTCCCATTTCTTTTCCTGCTCAGCTCAAAATGGGTAATAGTTTCACAGTATGATTTCTGAAAGTTATTTCCCCCTGAATCTGTCTTTTTAAACTCTTTCCTGGAGTTCCACTATTCCAGAAATTCTGCTACATGGGTTCAGAGCTAGGGCATTTCCAGGGGCTGGGATCCTGTACAAAGAGGTCAAATAATAAATGATGACTTTCTTTCCCAAATGAATTTACCTTCCACAGATAAGATATCATCATTTTATCTTCATTATAGCGCTGCTTTAACATCTATCATTGCAAAGCTATGTGTTTCAATGATCATAGTATTGTTTTAACTGATGCTGTTGGTTAACCTGAGCTCACTGGATAAAAAATGCATTATTAAATTACATCTATATACAATTTTATAGAGGTAAGATAGGTAAGATATTGTCATTTTTTTACTGTGGGCACAACGGCACACATCAAAAATGAAATTTAGTTGCCCGCTCTCAAAGTGAAACACATACATGACACATACCTAAACATACTATGAACAACATATGTATAGACCCACATCCCTACATATACGTAGCAAATAAATATTAAATATATAGGTATTATATATGGTATAAAATAGGGTAAAGAGCATGATACTCTTGTTCTTCCTGATTTATTATAGTTAGAAGGATCAAAGTAAAACCATGAACTACATAGTTAACATATTGGCTTAAGATCCCATCAGTGTTTACATATTATTAAAAATGTAGTATTAAAATAAATATGTTGAGGTGATTTGGTCATGTAGAGAATGAATTAGGATCAAATCATGAAATAAATTTATGGAGGAAGAGTGAATTATTTAGGAGGAAGGACAAGATTAAGAATTTGTGTTTAGATAAAGCTGATGAGAACCTCAAAAAGAGACAGAGCTAAAGAGAAGGCAATATATAATGTGGTGCACGGCGATTGGCGATACAAGGATGATTTGCAAGGAGAAAAAGATGTGGAGAGGAACACTGGATGAGTTTGGTTTAAAATAGATTTCGTTACATTCCTTTTTCTTATGTCTTGCCTTTAATTTTTTTGGCTAATTATAGTGTATCTTACCCTTTTTCTATGCTCTTCGTAATTGTTGCTTATTCCCAAAGGGAACAGTGTAATAGATTGTTTGAATAAATAAAAATTACAACTTGGTAGTTGGGATGAAATGAATTACCAACAGAAGATATCATCCAAACTGTATTTTTATCTCTTTTCATTTTTATAACCACAAATTATTTTTCAATACATGGAGACAAACAAACACACAAAAAATGATACACAAAATGGTAGGATGGTGGGTGGGCTTCCTGCTTCCCTCACCCAAATGAGGTTTTTCCAAGAGTTTCATGAGTTTAAATATACTTACTTGTTTAACAGAGTAAAAAGGTCTATTTTCAGTTATAATATACTACTGTTGGTGTGTATAGAAAAATTGCAAGTTTATCCCAAAATTAGTTCTCCTCTCTTACCTGAAGGTGGGCTTGGGACAGTGCATTGGCCTGTCCAGTTTTCTAACATTAGCTGCTTCTTCTGCTTTTCAATGCAATCAGAGACAAAAACGTTATGTCTGAAATTAAAAAACAAGAAAATTAATATAACTTCAGAATATAGCAGAAATATAAGCTTATTTACTACCTGTTCAGGAATAAAAAACCAACCTTATGAATAGCTTTCACACAGGAAAAAATATTTCAGAATGCAGAAATGAAGAAGCTGGAGACTTGTTTTGCAACATATTTTACACACCATTTAGGAAAATTTAATTTAAAAAATTTAAGAGAGAAAAAAATACCCACCATAATAACCCGTGTTCTTAGAGACTTTCATTGTGGATCTACAGTATATGAGTGTGCCTTAGCACCTTGCAACAATACAGTGGTAGGAAAAGATTGTGAGAATAATTGGATTCCATTTTCAGCCAGTTACAGTTAATGATTCTATGCTTATTGTTAATCTTTATAAATTCTCAAATAACACATTAGAACCTTTAAAATGCTTTTTGTATGAAAGCATGCTAGAAAGAATCATGTGTCTCTAACAATTTTATTGAAATTGTAAAACAAGTGATGACATTTTTTATAATTTGGGACACTGTTTATAGAAAACAAAATTGATTTGAGTTATTATAATTCCCGATTTGTTGCCAGAATTTGCTTCTGGCAAAAAACAGTTAAGAAGAAGCCCTAGGAGGGAGTCCAGCTATTTTGCACATCCCTTGAGTGGCTTAATAGTTAAGGTGCTGGATTAGGATTCAGGAAACTGGTTCAAAACTACCCTCAAGATATACAGCATATTTGGGCCAGTTGCTATCATCGTGCAGTTGTGTTGAGGGAATCAAAGTGGACAGGAAACACAACATGTATTACTTTCAGCAAAGAAACAGTTCCCATAGGAATAATCACAATTTAATTACGGTATAAGGATTATGGCAAGGATGGGCCACTATGGCAATTTTAAGACCTGTGGACTTCAACTCCCAGAATTCCTGAGCCAACATGGAATTCTGGGAGTTGAAGTCCACAGGTTGTAAAGTTGCCATAGCTGTCCACCACTGGATTATGGGGATGGGAAAGAAAAGGGAAAGGAAAGGAAAGATTGCATCATATCTACACTGAACACTCCATTAATAACACATACACCCCGCCGCCTGTTCTCTTTTACTTTTCACACAAACAGAAACTCTCATTTCAGTTCAGTTATCTTTCTTCATAGGTACCTTCTTCAGTGTAATTTGTAATTTGTAGATTATTTCAAAATATTTTATTTTCTAATAGCGAAATATAAATAATGACAGTACCAATAGAAAAAATGATATTATGAAGTAAAAACCTAAATATATTATAGGGATTAAAATAAATATGACAAAAACCTCAGAGAAAAGGAATTCACAGAAAAAAGAGACAAAAGAATCATCTTGTAATTACAGATAGCAATATAAAATTTAATAGCAATAACACTGACTATTTAATAGCAAAAGTAATGGCACTTAGACTTATATACCGCTCCATAGTGCTTTACAGCATTCTATGAGCAGTTAACAATGTCAGCATATTGCCCCCAACAATCTGTCCTCATTTTACCGATCTCAGAAGGATAGAAGACTGAGTGAACCTCAAGCTCAGTTAGGATCAAGCTCAGTTAGGATCAAACTCCAGACTGTGGGCAGAGTTAGCCTGCAATACTGCATTCCAACCACTGCACCACCAGATAAGATAATAATCTTATCATTGAGACCATATAAAAACATATTGCTTCAACTTCTTGCTTTTGAAGTACTGGGACTTTTCAAAAACAGTTAACAGATTCGTGCCCTTGATCCATTTCTTAAAATGAGAAGTTCCTTCTGTAAAATTATCCCCTTTGCTGGGCTTGATTGAATTCCTGAGCCAGCCATGGTCGTAAAATTACCATAATTGCCTACCCCTGTTCTAACATGATTAGAATTTAGCTACGTTTTCCTTCGAGTTGAATTAGCGCTTTGTTGTTTTAGATTGGGGAATATCATCTCACCTTGCTGAATAGGTTGTCTTCCAATCTAAGAAGACAAAATAATGATGCTTTGGCATATTGTGGTCTCACTCTCCCAGAGCACTACCTGCTTTGGAATTTTGATAAAAACCTGCTGAATTAAAGCAGGGGATTTAGGATGTAGATATCCAAAATGTTACACTCCAAATTTCCCCTCCCTTTTTAAAATCACAATTGTTCCTCTTCCATGGACTATCCCCAAATATTTCTTTAACATCTTATATGCTCCACATAAAATACTATTTACTTGGACCCCATCTGGGGTGCTATTTATTAGGACTATAACTTACAGAGACATAAATTTCCCATATGAAAGCTAAATTTGTTTCTGTTCAGACTCAAAAGTAGAATCTATTTCATTATTAAAATGTCCATGTTACCCTCAATGGCAATCAAGTTTAATATTTCCAAATGTTATTAGCTCTAAATGCCATTGTGCCCGGGAGGCCATTATTGTTCTCCTGGGTGACCACCCTTCATAAACGTCTAAGAAGATTGCAAAATTCTTAACAATAGCGGTAGCTGTTAGAAACCATCTGGTTTCTTCCTCGTAATAATAATAATAATAATAATAATAATAATAATAATAATAATAATAATAATAATAATAATAATAATAATAATAATAAAGTTGGAAGGGACCTTGGAGGTCATTGAGTCCAACCCCCTGCTCAGGCAGGAACCCTACACCATTTCAGACAAATGGATTTTCTCACAATTTAAAAAAAAAGATGGCTTCACAAAACAGTCAACAAGTGTTGAAGTTGATGAAGCATCCCGTTATGAAGCATGTAACTAAGACAGAATAACTTGAGAGATTCGTCACAAGAAGTATCATAGCACAAGAAGTGCAATAGGAAGTCAGTGTCTGAGTTTGCCTTATTGCATTTATAGAAGCAGCATGCGCACATGGCAAAACCATCCCCTCTCCCCCCCACTGCTGCCACCACCGCTTGCGCCAGTCAGCTGAGCTGGAAATATTGGGGACAGCTGATATACGGTTTTGATGCTACTTTATTATTTTCAAGATATTTAAGTATTTTAGAAGAGTTACTGTTAATGGATTATACTTCTACCTTGAAACTGGGAACTGTTTTATTCATTCTAAACAAGTTATAAAATTTTATAGGATTATGCATATGTTCTCTTTATTAGGGACCTTAACTTCCATTCAGTATAGTTGCAATAGAAATGAAGAATGTACATTTCATAAGAAGGACAGTTTGTTTACAAGCTTTGGCTGAATTACAGCTTTTCATTGTAAAGGTACAGATAAGCACTGCTCTTGGAAGTGTACAGTGTCTTAACTTAGCCAAGTATTTGCTTTCGCTGTGTGATGGGTCCATGCATGTAAAAACTACAATCTGTTTAGTTGCCGGTATGTCCTGGGGAATCTTGTTATTTGAGGGAGGAACAAAATAATTTTACAAAAGTCTGTTTTCAACCACACGATGGCAGTAAAAGGTGGGCTTTTAACCGTCAAAAAAATTCATAGCCATTTTTTCTCAAGCTTCAATGAAATTAGTACCAAAAGTTGCATTATTTCAAAGAAAAGACAGCTTTCTCAAAGACATCTAACCTATTCTTGTTCTTTGCTAAAAAAAATTAAAAATTAAAAAATGGAAAAAAAAACCTCAGAAAAGAGACTGCTAGTTCTTGAAATGCTTTCTTGGCACACATATATTGTGTGGCACGACATAATGAAGCAATTATCAAATACATGAAACAAAGAACTTCTGTTAAGAGAAATAAAACGAGGAAGTTGTATCCAAGGAAAATTAACCCTTTCAAATAAGAGAGTCTTGTTCAAGAGAAAAACGAACCAATTTTGCCCATTTGTTTTTATCTGATTGGAAGCCCAGATTAGATTTTCTAAGGTGTCTGCCAGTTTGTGGCAACATTGCTGGGCGAAATAGCCACTTATGTATGAAATAACTGGTTGAAAACTTTTTAGTATATTCTAAAATAAATTGGCTATATTGTAGGGATAATTTACTATAATTATTCAGCTTCAGTGATCAGTAATGCTATGATTCCAGGCACACAGAGAATGTGACATCTGCTGTATATGCCTGCTTCTTAGGCCAGTGGTTCTCAACCTGTGGGTCGGGACCCCATTTGGGGTCGATCGACCATTTCACGGGGGTCGCCAAGCAAGGCTGTTCGCCATTTTTTTTGTCCGCCATTTTTTTTGTCCGCCATTTTTCCCCCCTTTTTCGGCGGGTGCCTTACCTCCCTTGGGCTGGGCCAGCTGGTGGTCGGCCTGCTCCATCTCTGCTGCTTGCCAGCTACGCCTCGGCCGGTGCAGGGGGCGGAACCACGTATGCGCGGTGCTCCCGGGCAGGGAAAGTCCTCGACTTACGACCGGTTGGGTAGTCCTCGACTTACGACCGGTTTAGTCCTCGACTTACGACTGGTTTAGTCCTTGACTTATGACCGGTTTAGTCCTTGACTTACGACCGGTTGGGGTCGCGGCATTAAAAAGGTTGAGAACCACTGTCTTAGGCTGTCTCCTTCTCCTTCTACAACTATGGGCCTCCTTCCATCTTCCCCAATCCCAGGAACCACATTACATTTGTTTTCTGGGAGACACTGAGGACACCTTCTCCCCATAAATATACACAAATCCCCAGTGTAGAAATCTTGGGTAAGTGTGTGTGTAAAGAGGAAGCTTTATGAAGGGAAAGAAAGTTGCAACACAGGATATGTACCCTCACCCTTGAAAAAGTTCAGCCAGGTTGCTAATAGGTGTAGGGTGCAGGGATTGTACAGGCCTGGTTTAAAAGATCTGCAGTGATTTCCAATTGCACTTTAAGATGTTACTATCAAAGTTCAATCCCCATTTCTGAATCCTAATTGGGAGCCTGGATTGGCTCTTATATTCAGGTTCATAATACACCTGAATATTTTATGTTTCACAAATGGATGCTCTGAATAAAATTATTCTTATTCTTAATAATAGTTTCTGGAGTTTCTATATGTAACTCCAGTAAATGCCTCTACTTACAGTAACTATAAAACCATAATTTTCACAAAAAAGGCCGGTTCTGTGAAAGAATAATAATTTGAATCTGCATACCTTTTACTTAACACTGTTATTTATTTATTTATTTGTTTGTTTGTTTGTTTATTGGATTTATATGGCTCTCAGTAACTCTGGGCAGCAGGCAAACAATAACAAACCCAATATAAGAAAAATAAAAACAATAATCCCTCACAGGCAATCAGCAGACAATCAAACAGGCAATCAAATGAGCCACTTGACAATAAATAAACAAACAAACAAACAAACAAACAGTTATGTAGTAGTTTAAGAATCAGCAGAATATGATATTGCAGCTGATGTTTAAAGGCATTCATTTAGATCTTTTTACTGATGATTTTTCACTTTGAAAATAAATCTATAACTAAATATCAAGAACTTAAAATGGATAAAATACTCATTAAACATCTTTCCTGCCATAGCTGTATACATGTGATTTTTCATAAGATACCTACAAATTTTCATCCCAGTAGCCTCTGTTCACATTCTCTGCCATCCAGTTGTAACGGTTTCCTATATACTCCGGATCTTCAAACACTGGAAGGACAATTCCAAGTAAATTTCAAATTGGAGCGCATTCCATAAAAAATGCTAACTTTCTAAACAACAAGCATCTGAATTCCTTAGATCTTCCTGTATGGCATCCAACCTGAAAGAATCTTATAAATTCACTTCAGTAAGCTATAGGAAGGAAGTAGATATAACATAACACAAACAATCTTACTGCATATGAGATTCAAAAATCTGCTGGCTTACACCGCCAGCAAAGATAAGGCAGTTGGCCCATTAGGAAAAGAACCACTGATAACATGATCTTTCCCTGCAAATAAAGCATCCACCAATTCTTTATTACGTCATAGATGGCGAAGAACAAGCATTGTTGCAAGTTAAAAATTGGAACATATTGAATGTACAGGAAACAAAATATCAGAATAATGCATTAAAGACATGAACAGAATGCTGGCAGAAAGTCAGGCAGTGAGGAGGGATACAGTGGGGAACTAGCCTTAAATCCTTATGCAGTGGCAAGGTGCACTGACCCCACCCAAGTCCCATGAAACCTTATCTGTCCTTTCTCAAGGAAAGCAAGCAGTCTGGGGAGATTTCCGTTTTACAGATAGAATACAATAAGAAAGCCAGCTTTCTTTCACATGTGGATCTGGTTGCTTGTGCCTAATAGTCAATACATTACAACACCCTAAGTTCTTGGAACTGGCAGCTGGGATTTCACATTGATGTGTACATAATAATACTAATGGTATATAATTCCATATCCCCTTTTGCCTAGTTTGATGGTACAATGGAAATTCATTCTCACCTTTATGGAAAAGCTTTATTTATATGTATATTGGAACTACATTATATTTTTAATCACACTTAAGATGTATTTAAATGTGGTTTTTTTGTAGTAAATGTAGACATCAAAAGCAGAGCAAACTTTACTAAGAAATTAGAAGACATTCATTGTCTTCACAACTGCCGCTTGGCCAATATTCAATAGGTATTTCATTAACTTAAATTGTTAAAAAACGTATCCTTCTACTATCCATTCATAAAAATTCCAAATTGTTTCACAGTCCTATATGTACATAATCAGAATACTGTAGTCCGTCATCATTCAGCTTAATGTATGTGTTGCTCGTTTTAATTCCCTTTGTATAAGCCTTTGGGAAAGAGCCACAGCTGAATGATATAACACATGCTTGGGATAAGGAAGATCTTGAATCTGACTAAGAACGCAGTTTTATTTGTGCATTCGAACTACACATATCCAGAGGCCATGGGGGGGGATTTAATGATGAGTTAAACTATGACAAATCAGATGCTGCCCGACTTCATGTTACGGCAAGTTATATTAAGCAAATTTCACTAAGAATAGCAGCTCTCTCAATGTATAATGCATATTTGCTCCATATACCCATCATCCATTATACCCATTATATAATAAAAGTCTTTAACTCACTACTGAAAATGTAGTTAATCTAAAACAATGTAATTATAAGGTTTGTGCAGAGACCACCTAGGACGCACCAAATCTAATGATTCAATGTTCTGAAAATAGCACATTCCATCTTAGGTTGGTTTGGAATAGACCTTTCTGATTCTAGAATGTGATTCAGAAAAGTCAAAATTTAAAGTTGCAAGAAGATTTTCTTTGTTATTTTTATTAAAAGCAAACAAATCCACCTGTGTGGGTATGGGCAGGTGCTTTCTCTTGATATTTTAAGTAGTGTTTAGCTATTGTGATTTAGATCTGTTTGTCTGCCTGTCATCTCACCCAATTTTTTCAGAACTTCTCTAGAAGAGCAGTCTCAAACTTGCTTTCTATGGCTTCTAGTATATTTTGTAGGGACCTAGGGTGTTGCACAGCAAGTCTAGGACACAGAGTCCCGTGAAGGACATGGGAAGTACTTCAGGGAAAGGAGCAGCCCATCTTGCTGAATCTTTGAACAACAGTGAGACATGGGAGGAGAGAGCTACATAGTTGGTCCTCCAAGGCACTGAGCAATGCCATCTGAAAATACTGTCTGCTCTCAAGGTCCAGGGCAGAGCACTGCTTCTGGTGTTGTATCAGGTATTCTTCACCTGGAGACAAGACCTAGCCAGGGAAGGACCTCTCTGCCAGCCAAGCAGTGGGAATTGGTGGACAACAGCCTAATCAAGGAACCGCCAACACTAACAGAGCAAGCCACCTGTATATAAATAGAGAGCAAATTGCCACTCCCTTCTAGCACTGATGATGTTACCTACAGTAGCTGGGTAATGAAATGTCTGCAAGAAAACTACCAAACTCAGAGAGCATCAAGGACCCCACTGTGGGATGGTTAAGCAGGTGAGCAAGCAAGATTTCTCTGCTAAGCAAAGGAAGGAAGACGGGACTATGACAGGCAGAGTGAAGAGAAAGTGACCTAGAAAATGACAAAAGGGAGGAAAATCCACATGCTCCATATGGGAGAAAAAGAAAGAGAAAAACAGGGATGGGCTTTGCGTCCCGTTGGGAGAAGGGCGGGATATAAATCAAAATAAATAAATAAATAAATAAATAAATTTTAGTAATAAAACCAAATTTGGTATTTTGTTTACTGAAAATACTGCTAACTAAGTCACCAAAGTGAAATGCTGTTTCACAGTACTCCTTCACAAATAGCTGTGTTCCACAACAAGGTTTTTTAATGTACTAAATGTATGTGTAATGGCACACCAGGAATCTTTTTTCATTTTCTTATCTTTTTGACTGACTGAAGTTTTTTATATCTCCATAAGTAAAGGCTTCAGCGTTGCATTCCTCATTCCTAGTTTTGAACTAGTCATTATGACATTCATGATGATTTGAATTTGAGACCTCTGGAATACGCTGCCTTCTTTTTAAAACAACACAATTCTGCATTTGTCCATAAGAAAAAAATCATAAAGTTCCAATATATATATAGCAATACTTCTATTAGCAGCAACCACATTGTCACACAATTTTAAAGCTTCTCCCCCCAAAAAAAATCTTTCTGAAAGTCCCTATAGGCTGCAACTTCCATACTGCGGGGCAGGGCATCATCATATGAAAGATCTATTTGATTTATTTACATTTTGTGCAAAATCAGAGCTGCTCTTTTTAATTAAAAAAAAACCCCAAAACATCAGCTTACCTGGTTGTTTAAAATCTTCAGCAGGTCTTGATGTGGCAATTTTAAACCATGTTATATAATATTCTTCATATGAGACCCCTGTTGCCTTTCTGAAAATATACATTTGGAAGAAAGGATTATCTGTAACTAGCGTATGGAAATAGTTATGGGGCAGACATTTTTCTGCAGAACATTTCACCAAGGAGAAAGAACAGTGGTTTAAAGGGTGACACTGCTTCCAATTTCAGTACAAATGGAATACAATGATTATAAAAAGTTCATACTTTCCTGTTAAAATGCTAGGTTTATGAAATATATATAAAAACCGCCTAATACTTTGTTGAAGCACCTTTTGATTTTATGATAGAATTCAGTCTTTTGGGTTTGGAGTCTATCCGCATGGCTTGGGAATCTTTGCCCTCCTAAGATTAAAATGTATTCTATTGCTCCTCGGGGTGCTAAAATCTATAGGCATTATTTAGTTCATGCTGGATGTATTTTGTAAAAGAGTTCTGCCTGAGAGTTGTAGGATTAGGTATGTCATACTAAATGAGCCAGCTATTTGATAAAGAAGTCAAAGAGAACTGTGTTTATGCTTGTAATTGTCCCCCCCTTCTCTTCTGCGTGCTTATTTCTGATTTCAACACACATCAATGAGACTCTAAAGAAGAAAATGCCAAGCATGCTATTGTATGAAATGACAAGATTCTGGAGCATAATCATCACATTATTCCTGCTTTATTTGAAGTCCTTGCATTGATATCTTTGGCTGTTGCTGTCCTGTTCAATGTCAGCAGCAGCTCATTAAGGGCTTTATAACTTTGCCTTTCTTTGAAACTGTGAGAAATTGTTCTGCTATGAACCCTTCTTTGGCCACTGACAACAACACTGATTGACACATTTTTACTTTCCTAATGCCACCAGCATTAAAGATGTTTGGTCTCCCAGCCTCCACACCACTCTACCATAGACAGGTAGTCCTCTTGATCAATCACTCGCTCGCTGATCATTCAAAGTTATGATGGTGCTGAATAGAATAGAGTAGAATAACAGAGTCGGAAGGGACCTTGGAGGTCTTCTAGTCCAACCCCCTGCTGAGGCAGGAAACTGTACCATTTCAGACAAATGGTTGTTCAATCTCTTCTTAAAAACTTCCAGTGTTGGAGCATTCACAACTTCTGGATGCAAGTTGTTCCACTGATGAATTGTTCTAACTGTTAGGAAGATGTGCTTTTCTCATGCGACGCAGAAAATGCAGGCACTGCTGTGCCTGCTGCACCAGTGTCTTATTGTTGAGCATCCAAGCTCAGCATTTTCATATTGTGTTGGAGGTTGTAAGCTATTGGCATAGAACACAATGTTAGGAATGCCCAATTAGCTAGTTCTTTTGGTTAAACTTTTTTTTGAAGAGTTTTGGAAAACGTTATGTAACAGTATTTTATGAGAAATCCTGCTGATATACTTGATGGGATATTGATAATTATTGCCAACATTTCCTATGGCATATACTATACATCAGTGTGGTATAGAAATGATAACCTTCCTGTTGTTAGATACCAGGTTTGTTATTACATAACTCTCAAAAATTACAATACATACTTCACTGGATCACTGATATTAACCGTCTATCTCAAAAACTGACATAACATATAGCTTTGAAGAAGCATATAATATTGGGGAAAGTTAATTGAATATTATCAGTTTCTTATCTATATTAAAATGTATTTCCTATTATATTACCTTTTACTTTTTCAAATGAAATTGTAGATAATATTGAACATGGATATCTAAAATGTTTGTAGTTCTCCTTAAGATTAAACATGTAACCTATCTTTTAGCGTTTGACTCTCTTTTAAAATTAAAAAAAACTTTAAGGAAGCAAAATGGTTCACCATAGTTAGATATATTTATGTGTATATAAATATGTGATTTATTCAAGTTAAAATGTATTTTTGAAGGCTTCTTTGATTATCAGGAAGGCCTGCTGCTAAGTTACTGTTTGGGATCAGTTATATAAGTCACATCTTGCCAATTCTCAAAACTGGATGCTGGCCCATTTCCATGCCTGAACAGTTTGAAGTCCAAAATCTTCTTTTAGCTCATGCCCAGATTTTGTAGGCTTCATAAAATGTCATGCTTTATGTCTATTTTCCATATGATGCTAGACAGGCAAGACGAAGGAGAGACAATTTTTTTGGTGATGCCACACTAAGCAGTGTTTCTCCAAGCAGAATTTCCTCTGATATATTTCTGGAGCAATAGAAGATCTTGTATTGAGAATGTTTTTAATTTGTTCTGTTCCTACCATGTTTCCCCAAAAATAAGACCGGGTCTTATATTAATTTTTGCTCCAAAGGAGGCCTTCGGGCTTATTTTACGGTTAGGTCTTATTTTCAGAGAAATATGGTACTAGATGTATCCATCTACCTGACAATCTTAACTGGGGCTTATTTTGGGGGTCAGGCTTATATTACGAGCACCCTGAAAAATCATGCTAGGGCTTATTTTCCTGGCTGGGTCTTATTTTCAGGGAAACACGGTATTTATGGCTTTATACTAACACTGCTAGAAAATTTTACTTTCAGATGAAATGCTGCTTTTCAAAGCACATATAAATTATTCAGGTATTCAAATAATAATGTATAGCATTACAACAATTGTGAGCTTAACGGTGTGTCATTTACCTGTGCGAGCTCGGTTCTTTTGATTTTTCATAAAACTTGATTGAAGTTGTATCCCAATCTTTGGCAATAGCTGGACAAGAAAAGAAGTTTTAAAAATGCCTATTTGTTGTGAACATTTTATAGTCCAATACTGTAAAATAACAAAGACTTTATTGAGCCACACATAATTGCAACTAGAAGATTCCAGTGGCTTTACTACCAGTAATGAAAAGAATATTTTTAAATATGAGGTGAGCGCTGAAATGAGACTGTTGTCACAACAGCGATAGGATTAGTAACTATAAGGAGGTACGGTTACAATAATTTAAATTATACAGACTCATTATGTGGAGATAATACTTTATTTGATCTTACTGGCAGAATAACTTATTAGCAGTTCTAATGCTCATGAAGCTCTGGATCCAATTCCACAGTTTTGGCAGCTAAGACCTTTTATTTATGGTTCAGCTGTGGGATTACCCAAAAGCATATACAGGTAGTTCTTGACTTATGACCATAATGGGACTTCCCCATTATTGTTGTAATGATCGTTGTAAAGCGGATCACCCACGAACCAACCGGATTCTATGACCTTTTTTGTGGCAATCGTTAAGCAAACATGATAGTTGTAAAGTGAACATGGCAGTTGTAAAGCAAATGCCACTGTCATAAAGTGAAACCATTGTTCACTATGGGCTGTTTTTGCCAAAAACTGGAAGTAAATGCCACTCTTCGGCAAAGATGTCATAAACGACAGTCACGTGACTGCAGGATTCTGCAAACAGCCATAAATGAAGGCTAGTTGCTGAGTGCCCAACATGCAGTCACAGAAGTGTGGAAGGGGGCAGCTATTGGAACTTTGGAATCGGCTTTTAAGTAGCCATAACTTTGAACAATCGCTAAGTGTAAGTCGAGGACTACCTGCATGTACACATCTCCCTCTCTCTCCTCTGGCTGCCTGCCTTTACTGGATCAGAGTGGTAGATATCAATGAGAAAAATTTCATCTTGCAGCTCAAGTTACATTGCCAAGGATACTAATTAAAATTTATGACAGTGGATATAAAATAGTGTTTTTTTTTAAAAGAATGCAATTCAAATAGTTTCTTCTAAAACTCCCCATCGTGCAGAAAGAATTTATCTACAACTAATAACATAAAGCACAAGCATTTATTACCTTCGAGTTGCTTGCTATTTGTGACACACTGTACAACTTTTTCTCTGTATAGGCGATAATTTGTCCTCAGCATTTGAGCTGCCTCCAGGTTCACGGCATTGTTCAGAACAGGATTAGACAACAAAACCTGTATGAAAATACATGCATATATCAATCTGCAAAGCTTTATTGATTACAAATTCAACCAGCCACAGGTAGTCCTCGACTTGTGATCACAATAGGGTCCAAAATTTCCACTGCTAAGCAAGGCAGTTCTTTCATGAGTTTTGCCTCACTTACGGCCTTTTTTTTTTTGCCACAGATGTTAAGTCAGGGGTCTTCAAACTTGGCCCTTTTATGACTTGTGGACTTCAACTCCCAGAATTCCTCAGCCAGGCACGCTGGCTGAGGAATTATGGGAGTTGAAGTCCACAAGTCATAAAAGGGCCAAGTTTGAAGACCGCTGTTTTAAGTGAATCTTGCTTCTCCCATTGACTTTGCTTCTGGGAAGCAGTGGGAAGATTTCAGAGGGTGATCACATGACCTGGGAACATTGCAACTGTCATAAATACATGCCAGTTGCCAAGCATCCAAATTTTGATCCCGTGATCATGGGGATGCTGTAACAGTTATTAAGTGGGATAACTGTTTATAATGCACTTTTTTCAGTGCTGTTGTAACTTACAATGATCACTAAATGAATGGTTTGCAAGTTGAAGAGTACCTGAAATTTAACACTATTTACAATAAATGGCTTTGTTGGGGTAGCCATGGCAGTTGGAAGGCATGAATCCTGCTTTTCATAGAGATAGAAAACTTACAGAAGGTTGATACTTTTCTTTCCACTCTACTCTAACCTTGGCTGTGTAGCAGACACAAATTATGATCCCGTGATCATGGGGATGCTGTAACAGTTATTAAGAATATATGAATATATGGGGAACATGAAAAAGTCAGCATTTCTTCTTTGGATGCATCCAATTCAGAATGGAATATTGGACTTGCTATACATTTGATCAGATATTGATAACTATTGGAGGATATAAAATATAAATATATATATTTATATATAAAAAATATAAAAAAGCTCCACATATTCATTTCTGAAGGAAGGATAGAAACATTTATAATAATTTCTTGAGTGCCAGGAGGAGAGGGAACCATCCCTTTCATTCTAGTTATGATTCAAAGAGTGATAGCAGCTCAAAGAAAATTCATTTTTTTTTTAATGCAATGGTAGTCCTTATTTCACCAAAGGAAGTTGGAAACTCCCTTTCCAATGTGGAAACAGAATCTTTCCAATAAGTGCAGTGTCCCATTTTCCTAAGATATACAAGAGCAGATCCTAGACGGGTAGGAGTTAAAATTATGCAACAATTTAAAGAACATCTTTAACAATAGAAAATAATCCCCTGTAGTGCATTATATTTATTACTCAAGAGAACATTGGTAGAAAAAAAAAAGCTGAAAGAGCAGTGCCCCTTGCTGGATGGACCCTGACTTCCTTCAGAGCAACAAATATAGGAAAATATGGCATTAGAGATATCCTGCTATAATTTTATTTATTTGTTAAATTTATATGTCAGCCATCTTGCTATTCAAATCTATGGATGCGGGAACCTCATGCCTTAACAAACATTCCCAAAATGTTTCTATAGCTTTCTCATTGACAGAAGAAAGAGACATTTATTTGAGGAAGACTCTATCCCTAAGAGAAAGTGCTGTGGTGAAAATAAAAGTGTGTAACATGTAATTAAAAAGCTTTCCTTGGACATGTATCTCATGTATCTGAGATAAGCTTAACTCTTGATGACTTTATGGACATATCCATGCTTTCTCTTTTTAAAATGATTTTTATTAATTTTTAAACAAGTATATAAAAATAACACAAATTGATAGTTAATAAGCTGGGAAAAAGAAAAAGCAAGCAAGCAATGGCAAAGCAAAAAATTTAAGAAAAGAAAGAAAAAAGGGCAAAGAAGGGGCTTCTAATATTCTTCATTTAATCTCTCTCGCTGTAAAGTTACATCATGACTCTCTTTTTAAAAAAAATTCTTTAATTAGAATTTAAAGAATTGCATACTCTGTGTGGGTCCAAGGAAGAAGAATGTTTTTTTGTCTTCAGTCCTACTGATCTGACAAACTGTTAACTAGAACTGGGAACCTCAAAAGTAACTTATGAAAAGAACTAAAGGAAACTAAGGGAAAAAAATAACAATTTTACTGGATTAGTGCAAATGCCTTGTGTGAGCTTATGCTGCTGTGAAGTTCCTAGTATTACAAAAATAAACCAAGTCTACTTCTCCCATAAACAAAAGAAAATTAAGGAAAGAAATCAAACATAGTAAGCAAGAATGGACCTATCATTCATCTTATCATCAGTAACACTTCAATCACAAGGTAAACAATTTCAATAGATCTTTTAGGTGTGTTCCAGAGGGTCTAAGACCTAGGTGAACCTATTTTCTGTTTTTGTAATTACAAATTTGACCTCGAAAAGAATGATTATACGATTTAAGACGTGCAATGTGAGATCTGTAAAGAGTTATGTAGGTTTTAATCTCTACAAGAAAGATTTTACAAAATGTTAACATTTAGCTTATGTGGTTTTTATTTATTCTGAATATTTTATATGACAAAAATATGGATTCATTATTAATTTGATATAGTGCATTTACACCAAAGCAGATAAAAATCAAAATTATGAAAACAATATACAAACTACTATGATTGTAAGTAGCTGTTATATTACTCTGGAAAACAACCCCTACCAGAAGAGCAGTAAGTTGTTTTTGATCAGTTACATATGAAGGACACTGTCCTTAATAATACCCTTACCATTGGGATGGAAAGGAATAGTGGTGAATGTGATAGTTGGAGGCACGGCATTGTAGTTTGCACAATATTTCAGTGACAGCTGAAGCTCAGCACCTAATATAATATATAAAAATATATAGGTATTATATTGTATGCCAGGTAGAGGGAGCCTGTAAATATGAATTCACAAGTGTTCTTTGACTTAATTTTACAGCAACCCCAGGTGAATCTCAAAAGCCTCTGGAAACAATCCATTTGGGTTTCTAGAAAAGTGACCTTTGGTATACCTTGTAAGGAGGAAATATCATCAAAAAATAGGAGGCGCAAGACAAAAATCATTTGCCTGATTTCATCCACCACTTGCTTCACCCATTTACCAAATGGCATGAAACGCAACTCTCATTACAATAGTGTTTGTCAACCCCAACAACTTTAAGATATGTGGATTTCAACTCCCAGAATTCTACCTTAGAGTTGCTGAGATTGAGAAACACTGCATTAGGGAATGGTGGTTCTTGAAATTAAGACTGTCCATCCTTGACTCTGGAAGGATTTATACAGCCTAAAATAATGTGTATTTGTTGGAAATGAATAGACTTTTCTTCAACAGTAAACAGTATAGAAGATTGAAGTCTTACAAAAATATCTGTTGTGATGCAAACAGAGGGTGCATACATTTCAGTACCCCTAATGCCATAAAACAAGGTTGCCTTCTTATGTTCTTATTTTTATTCCTTGCTACTTCCACCTTCAATATTTGATAGTTCAGTATTTCCATCATTTAAGTATTCTATTCTATAACTTCAACTTCAATGAGTGCTTTCTGCACTCTCTGATTTCATCCATGTTGTTTAGGGAGTGCAATACCACTTGTACATTGTGACATTTCTAGGAAAGAGTAGCCACCTTCCCATAAGGTATCCTTCAGCCCTCCAATTTCAGCTATCCATTCCATCCAATTGTCCTCCACAGGCATAACAGAAATGCCCTAAAGAAAGAAAAGATAACAAATGGTTTTGGCTTCAGTGACATAAAGTAAAATAACTCATGACAACTCTGTAGACACTAACAATAATACAAATGTGGTTTGCAAATGCCCTTTTGTCATATAACTTTCTAACTTTTCTGTCTACCTTCCAGCCTTGAGGTTTCCTTAAGGTTTGCCACGGGTTCTGCTTGCAATTTTTCTAAACAGTCTTCTGTTTCAAAGATCTCCCATCATCCATTTCCTAATCAGACCTATTTCTACTCAGCATTCAAGCCCAGACAAATTTTGTCAGAAGTTTGCACTTCTTGTTGATTGACTTATTCATGGTTAATGGATATCATCTCTCTTCCTCTTTCTGGTCCCAGAGAAATGATTGTGCATTGATTTATATAGATTTTGATATTGTTGCAATCATCTGACTGTTAGGAGTATAGCACAATCTCCATGCTAATGATATGTAGTACAAAATAACCGAAGAATTAAAATTATTTTCAAACAGAATTAAACTGAAATAGAACAACATATAAAAGTTCCAAAGGTCCTGTCTAACTAGCTACAATACCTGCCCCCCAGCACTAGTTCTGGAAAGCTAATAAAGCTAGGCAGCATTCTAAAAACAACCCATTTTGGAAGGGCTGTTCAGAATACTGGGCTCATGGAGAAATGTCTCCTTGTGGTCTTAGCTCTCTTAATGTCAATGGTAGGGGCGGTCCAAAAGCATTTTTCCCAGAATACAGGATGGGTTGACTCTAGCTGAAAAAGAGGCTCCTTAAAGTATCTCCAAGACATATAGGGCTTTTTAAGTCAAGAGCCAAACTTTAAATTTCATCTGGAAACCTACAGGTGACCATTGTATGCCTCTAGTACCGGGGGAGATATGCTTAGCACAGTGGTTCTCAACCTTTTTAATGCCGCGACCCTCAACCGGTCATAAGTCGAGGACTAAACCGGTCATAAGTCGAGGACTAAACTGGTCGTAAGTCGAGGACTACCCAGCTGGTCGTAAGTCGAGGATTTTCCCTGCCCGGGAGCGCCGTGCATGCGTGGTTCCGCCCCCTGCGCCGGCCGAGGCGTAGCTGGCAAGCAGCAGAGACGGAGCAGGCCGACTACCAGCTGGCCCAGCTCAAGGGAGGTAAGGCACCTGCCGGAAAAGGGGGGAAAAAATGGCGGACAGCCTTGCTTGGTGACCCCCGTGAAATGGTCGATCGACCCCAAATGGGGTCGCGACCCATAGGTTGAGAACCGCTGGCTTAGCATGTCTGGAACAAGTTAACATACAGGCCACTGCATTTCATATCAGCTGCTCCGTTAAAAATTAATTTCAAATGAACAACAGTTCATCCTTACAGACAAACTACAGGAACAGTGATTTGTTTAAACTTTGGTTTAGGAGAAAGTGAAGAAGCTGTCAGAGGGAAGGAAGGAAGGAAGGAAGGAAGGAAGGAAGGAAGGAAGGAAGAAGGGAGGGAGGGAGGGAGGAAGGAAGATTGTATCAGAGAATGGCATCTTAGTCATGTCTGGTTCTACCCCCACCTACTTCTAGCTTTAGACTTAACCACTGAGTAATTGCCAACTAACTACCTCTGGGGGAAAGAGGCTCTTAAAAGGAAAACAAACAAAAAAATGCTTGTCAGCTCTGAAGACTGATAGACTAGTAGAGAGCAGATCCTGAAGCTCTGTCATATACTCATTATTCTAATACAGTGTTGATGGTCTTGACTCTTATAAGCAAAATAGAAGACATTAAAATGATGCTGTTCCATAGGGCCTTTGGGGAGGAGAACCCTATTTCTATGAGGACTTCCTATGGATAAGAGTTCATTTTATTTGCCTGTTTTCTGTTTGTAGGATGGTAAGCCGCCTTGGATGCAAGGAACAGGCAGCAGACTGATGCCCATGCTAGATAATAAGGAATAAATTCTACTCACAAATATATTTGCCTGCTTGAACTCCACAAACTCTCTTTCCAACAGTAAGAAAGCTCTTGAATGCAACATATTCTCAGGAGCCTCTTATTCTTCTCTTGTAGTTTCACTCAGACGACAATTTTGCATTCAAGTGGAGCCAGCAGAATGAATAGGTAATTGGGAAAAAGTGGCAGAAAAAAAAAAAACTACAGGATTTTCCCTTTTTCATCTGGAATTGAAATGGATTTGAGCCTAATAGTGAACACCTTGCCAACAGGCCTGAGGCTCACCCCAAAAAGAAAATTCTCTATACTTCTATTAGGTAATTATATTTGAAGGAGCAGGCAAAAAAATATCTCCATTCCTTGCTTTTCACAGCTGAACTGCTACAAGCATAGCCTTTGTAGGAAGCATGGAGAAGCGGAGTATGAAGCAAGCCAGGCTTTGTGTACAGAGAATGTAACCAAGCAACCAGTTTTTTATTTCCTCAAGGGAGACAGTTCCCTGTCTTAACTCTCTTCTCCCTTTCAACCAATCGGTACCAGTTTTGCTTTCGCCCTTGTGTTGAACACCAATCGTGACAGCTCTTCCATTCAAACATTGAAACTGAAACCCAGGAAGTACTCAGAGATGCCAGTCGAAGCAAAGGTGTATTTACTTTTCTGTCAAGGAGTGAGTGCATCTTATCCGAATAACGCTTGGCCATGAGATAATTATAGGAGAAAAATTCTCACATTGCTTTCCCAGTTAAGTATGCAAGTTTGGTCTGTGGAAAGTTACAGAAAGAACTGCTGCTGACCACCCTGAGAAAATTGGTTAAAGAGAAGCAAGATGTAACCTTGAGATGCTTGTGCTACTGATTAAAGGAAGAAATAAGCATTTAATGTTTTAATCACTATATAAGATGTATATATGATTTTTTTTTCCAGATTTGGAGGATTTGGAGTTTTCTGGGCTTTTCTTGGAAAGATTCTGAATAATAAGCTTGTATTTCCAGCTTATTGTTAGAAACTCAGCTAAGCATTTCACTCCTCCAGCTTTTACTCTGGAATAGTTGCTACCTCCTGATTTTAAGTTTAAGAAGTTTAAGAATCTGCAGTTTAAGAATCTTAAGTTTAAGAATCTGCAGCTGCCTGGGATTTATAATAATAATTTTATACATATAAGTTCTCTTCACCTACCAACAGTAACTGGGACTAGCACCTCTGTCACTAAGCAATACAGTCATAAGGTGCAATGTCAAGTGACCTTGCTGCTTATGAAAATATGGCACTTCCCGTTGCTGTCACTAAGTGAATCAGTAGGTTGTTAAGTGAAGACCTCACATTTGCCATTTGTGACCTCCTGCTGGCTTCCTCATTTACTTTGCTTGTCAGAAGCTGGTAGCGAAGGTCACAAATGACAATCACACAACCACATAATGTTGCAATCTCATAAGTGAACCAATCAACTTGCCCAATTTGCAATCACGTAGTCATAGAGACTGTGACTGTGCTTCACACTATCCAATGATATAAAAAGGCTTCATTCCTATTGATATCACCATATCATTGAAGGTGTCTCTTATAGTAAACACATTTGTTGTCTCCTTCCAGTGATGAGCCCTCAGGGCAAAAAGAAATTGCTCTGTATCCAACTGGCCTCTTTCCTTCCGTGCTTGGAATATAAATTGTATTATATTCATCTAGCTCAGAGATCTCTGCTGCTTCACACAGAGGAAGCCAATTCCCACAGATACATACAATGTTTGGTCTCACCTGTCATTAACACATTGTTACACATCAGAGAATACACATATTTGAAGAAATGTACTTATTAAAATCAAATCAGAAGAATCACACTTCTTTAGGGAATTTAATAACATAGAGGTGGGTGTTGTTTTATTTGTTTTTTGATTTCGATAGCCATCCATCTCAACAAGTGTCTCTGGTCAGTGCACCTCTTAAGAAATAGAAACAAACATTATTAGAACTGTTTTAATAGTTCTAATAATGTTTGTTTCTATAAGAAGATAACAAAGATAAAGAATTCTCCATTTCAATTAATTGTTCATTTGGACAATTAATATTTTCAATTATGTCGGTCCTTTGTCCTTAGAATTTTGTGAGCCCCGGGTATTGGTTCAGAAATACCGGAATGTTTTCCAGTTGTCCCAGTCCCATTAGACTTCCCTCTTATAAGGTCTCCTCGGTACAGAAGACCAACCTGCCAGCCAACATTCCTTAGCTGATGGAACTTGCAACATGCCTACTCTGCCTGAGTGAATTGGATGGGTAGAACTAGAAGATGGCCCCTTAGGTAAAGGCCATGAAAGACTTTAAAGATGATAAGCAATACCTTAAATTGTACCTGGAAACACAATGCAGCTCATGAAGTGTTACATGTGTCAAATACCCAACATCCTTTACAACCCATGCAGCCACATTCTGCACCAGGTGAAGCTTCCGAAGGGTCTTCCAGGTCAGTCCCATATAGAGCACATTGTAATAGTCCAGATGAGAGATCACGAGGGCAAGTGACTGTGAGCCAAGTCTTTCAATCAAGGGACAGGTACAACTGGCACACCACCCTCAGGTGTGCAAGGATTCTCTAGGCCATGGCTGCCACTTGCTCTTCTAGCAGGAGCTATTCATACAGAGACTCCCAGATTGTGTATCGTGTCCATCTGGAGCAGTGCCATCCCATCCAGCACTAGTGGTGGAAAAACCTTATGATTAGGCGGGCCAAATATCCAAGTAAACCATTCTGTCTTACTTGGGTTGAGTTGAACCCATTGCACCCCAACCAGACCTTTACAGCCTCCAGTCACTGAGGCAGGACATCCACAGCATTGCTCAGGCAGCCAGAGGTGGCTATATAAAGCTGGGTATCATCAGCATATTGATAATATCTCACCCCAAACTATTGAATCACCTCATCCAGTGGTTTCATGTTGATGTTAAATAGGAGAGGAGACAGAATTGAGTCCTAACCCATATTAGCTTCAGCCATGGACAAAACTTACCCCACTCTAGATATTATACTGATTCATACTTACAGGGTTTGTAAGCTGCCCAGAGTCATCTCTGCACAAGAAGGGGGACACCTACATTTAATAAATATTGTCAATAATGCATTTTTCTTACTAGCTTTTATGAAAGTTGATTATGTTATATATCATATAATATATATTATGATATATATCATACTCTCAGAAAAATGCAGCTATAAAAATTTGGAATTTTCCATTAACATAATTTAGCAATGGATTTTGAAGATGCAAGATAGGAAGAGTAGAGATAGTCCTTGCCTAATGATAATTGGGAACAGCAATTCCATCACTAAATGATGTGGTAGTTAAGCAAAACATCACATGACTGTAATGAGCTCACAATCTCACTTCTCCTGCAGTCTTTAAGTCAGGGGTGTCAAACGCACAATGTCACATGGCATGGAGCTCGGGTGGGCGTGGTTTCAGCATGATGCATCTGGCCCGTGGGCTGGCAGTTTGACACCCCTGCTTTAAGTGAATCACTCACAGTCATTACACGAGACATCACATGACTGCAACTTGTGATTTTATTGTCTGCTTCTCCACTGCTTATTGGAAGCTGGCTGTGAAACATGCAAATGGTGATCTTGTTGCTAGGTTCCTGCAATAATTCTCAAGTTGCAAAGTACCTAAGCCTTGATCTTTTGACTATGGGGATGCTGTGACAGTTATAGGTGTGAGGACTGATTGTAAAGTTACTTTTTCAGTGCCATCTTAACTTTGAATGGTTGCTAAAAAGAACAGTTATTAAGTGAGGTCTACCTGTGTTGACACTTCTGAACTTTAGTGTCGGAGAAGGCTTCCTGAGAAATCCTGGACAGTCAAGAAAGAAAACAAATGGATCATTGAACAAATCAACGTATAGTTTTCGTGCAAATGACCAGACTGAAATTATCCTACTTCAGACTTTTTATGTGAAGATCTCTTTCTGGAAAAGCCTCTAGTGGTGGGACAAATGGAAGATATCAGGATGACCAGCAGCAAGGTAGACAGACTCAGTTAAGTGACAACGAGTGCAGTTGGGAAAATTTGAAGAACAAGTTAATGACATGATCATTGAGAAAGACTGTGTGGTTGCTAAGAGTTAGCAACAACTTGATGATACATTATCACTCTATACATAATGTAGCAATGAGGCTGCTGGTTATCTGAAAAACTATTCACAAGACAGACATCTTCTGTGACTATTCAAACCCAATTTTATTTGGGTGGCAGCACTCATATTCTATGCTGAGCTATGATGCATTTAACTAAGCTAAAATGTTTGACTTAGCTAAAATAGCTTAGGACCATACAAACTGCAACCATGTATCATGGTTTATGAAATGTGATAGAGTTCAGGTTACCTCTAAGTCAGTGTAACTTCCACATTAGATCAGAATGTAAAATCTCATAATCATTGATTGCATTTTATTTAGAGTATGTCTTTCATAATAGATGTTGCAAATGATTTTCAATGTTCGTATTGCATATACTGGATAGGATTCCAACTGTGAGACTTCCTCATTTATCTACCGAATAAATTGTACAAATTTGCTTCAAAGAATTTGTTGAAGTATTTTTTCATTTTGATGCAAATAAAACCCTTGGAAGCAAATGAATTAATGCCATAAACACTGCCATTTTTCTAACAGCAAATAATTTGTAAGAAAAGTGTATTCAAACTTAATTAAGAATATAGTAGAAGTAATTCATACCATATAGCTGTCAACACCATAAAAGTAAAGATACTACTAAATATCTCATAGTTAATGAGGTGATTATAATCGAAAAATATGTGAGAAAAGTGGTATTAAAATTGTTCAGTTTTAGAATATTTTTCCCTTATTAAATAGCAGATTAGATATGAATTTTATTCTAGAAGTAATAGTTTTAATAATTATATTTTGGATTAAAAAAAAGAAGCGCAATTTGGAAGTTTGCGGTTTCTTTCTCTGTTATTTTTGTGATGTAGAAACCCCGTCTTTTCCATCTGGTTTTTGCAAAATACTGATTTTTCTGGCATAAGTATTTTTTCCACATTACCCAATTTACTTTGAGAGGTCTCCCTTTGTTTATTTTCTCCACTAGGAACTTCTGCTCCTGTTTTAGAGTTTATTAACAAACTGAATTTTGTGTTATGAAGCCAAAAAACGGATGTCTAACATTGACAAAGTTTTCATTCATGGAAGACAACTGGCTTGCTTGTTCAGCATTTCTCCTGTATAAAATCTCTTATAGAATATTTAAGGACAGTTTTCCAAACTTTCATGTCAGGGTTATTTCAGTGAGATAATGCAAAAACATTAATGAATAAGCTTTTTATTTGTTAGAAAACTCAAAAATAACCATGAGACCCTCTGGGTTTTCCAGAGGTGAGAATGCATTATTTTTTCTTTTTCTAAGATTATAGCCAGTGTTTTTCACAAACTC